GACATTTGCCTTCATGGAGCAAATGACAGTGAAACAGTATTTTGTTTATAAAACAGGTATATGGTTTCTAAATTGATTCTGGATTATTGGGGCCTGCTTCTGCAGTCACTGAAAAATTCATCTGAATTTTTGTACAAATCCTCCTGCAGAGTTCTTACCGTTTCAGCAAAATTACAATTGGCCTGATAATTTTGCACATTTGCAAAATGACCCTAAGAGCAGACTTGTTTGGTGATAGCTGAAAGTTGTTTAGAGCCAAGCACAATCATCCAGGTAGGTGGGGTTAGGCTGTTTTTTTTTGATTTAGGGGGTCATAGAAGTGACTAAATGAGAGTTGGCACCTGTATTCCCAAAGACTTGATGAGAAATATTTTAAACAGTCACCAAATAAATATGTGGATTTCATGAGAAAAAATAAATAAATAAATAAAGATTTTCTATTTTGTTCCATTGACCAGTCTTCCTATTCGTGAACCCTATAGTTTTAATTATATGTTTTCTAACTAATAAATTATAATTTTACATTTATAATTTATTATGGAGTTTAGAATATGTTTTATATCTTGTACGTCTAGTCCTCCCCTCATAGTGCTTATTTTTTTTCAGAATTTTACTGACTATTCTTCCTTGTCTATTTTCTCATATGAGTTTTAGAATGACATTGCTTAGTTAATATAGTCTTGGTTTTCTCCTGCTCCAGCCTGTCCTCTTTGTGTGTGGTGTGTGGGTGCGTGTACATAAGACAGAGAACACCTACTGATACTCTTCAATTCCTGGCCTCTCCAAGGCCATAAGATGACTTTTTATTTGTTCAAGTCTTCTTTATTTTCTTCAGCAGCATTTAAAAATTGTCTTCCACCTAGAGCCTGCATATCTGCCAAGTCTGTTCCTGAGTATTTTGCCACCGTCATTGCTATTGTATGAAAGGGAGTCATTTTTTTCTTCCTTCTTTCTTTTTCCTCCTTCATCTCCCTCTCTCTCTTCTTCTATTTCCTTCTCCTCCTCCTTTTTCTGTATCTGTGAAAGTTATTAATTTTTCCAACCCCTTTAAGAATAAAACTAGAGGCAAAGACAGAATAGAACAGGCATGATCCAGTGTTAACCTAAGAGTGAATTAGAATTGCTCAAACGCATTTTCTCTCCCATATTTAAACGTGTAGACCATGGACAATGAACTTGAGCTACTCGTATGGTTATTGTTTCCAAAGTTAGTTTATTTCAAAGTCTGCAAGATGGAGGCAGTTTAATGAAAGGGAAGAAAAGCTTGTTATTTGAAAACTCCCAGCTTAAGCTGCATCCAGCGTTTCCCAGGCAGTGAAATGAACAAAAACATCTCTTGGGCCAGGAACTTAACACAATGCTCCACGAGTATTAGGTGTTTTATCAGAGATTTTTGAAATAAGACCGAGTCCAGCCATAGAGTTTTAGAGCTGGAAGGGGGCTTAAAATCAGCAGAGCGGTGGTTCTCAACACTGGTTGCAGGAGAAACCCACCAGGGAACTTATAACACTGATACCCACGTCTACTCTAGACCAAAGATGTCAGAAACGGTGGGAATGAGGCCTGGGGACCAATATTACTTTAAAACCTCCCAGATGATTGCATTGTGCATCCACAGTGGAGAATCGCTGCTTTAGACCAATGTCCTAATCGAGCAGATGTGGAGATCGTGGGTAAGTGAGAAGAAGTGAGGTGTTTGTGGCCAAGCTGAGACCAGAGCAAGGTCTGCAGGGTCCCCAGCCCAGAGAACAGCAGCTGATGCCTCCGGGGCTGCCTGTGCCCACATGCTCCTCGGGCTTAGGGTTCCAACCTATTTTACCCTATCAACAGCCCAGGAAAGAGGTTATATTATCCTGTCTCACAAAAGAGGGATGGGAAGCCCGTCTGCAACCAGCCCAATGTCAGGCAGCTAGAAAGGGACAGCATTCAGCAGGCAGCCCAGGACCCTGACTCAGAGGCCCGTGCGCCCCAAGCCGGGTTCTTGTCCACTTACTTCCCCATGAGGTCTTGGGACATTAACTTTTTCCACCCTGCAGAGATGACAAGTTATATAATATGGTCACTAGGAATTGTTTACATTTTAAGTATTTTTAGCAGTGAAACCCCTTTCTCAGTTGAAATCTTACTTTGACAACAGGGAGCAGAACCACCCAGCTTGGAGCAAGGTGAGGACACCAAGTGCCACCAGTCAGCCCCCTCTGTCCCATAGTCTCCCCAAGTGTTATTTGAAAAGCACAGGGGTAGATGCTCTTGGGATCTTGCTCCTCTCTAACAATGGGTGATGAAGACTGAAAGAGAAAAGGGTTGACAGGAATTCATCCTCTGTTCCTCCGTCGATGGACATTTAGGTTGTTCCTACATCCTGGCTGCGTAAACAACACTGCAATGAACATGGGAGGGTAAATGTCTCTTTGAGGTCCTTCTTTGCATTCTTTTGGATAAATACCCAGAAATGGGATTGCTGAATCCTATAGTAATTCTGCTTTTAATTTTTGAGGAACTACTGCACTGTGCTCCACAGTAGCTACACCATTTTACACTCCCACCAGCTGTGCACAGGGCTCCAGTTCCTCTGCAGCTGCACAAACACTTGTTATCTTTTGGTTTTTGTTTTGTTTTGTTTTCATAATGGCTATACTAACAGATGTGAGGTGGTATCTCATTGTGGTTTTGATTTGCATTTCCCTGATGATTAGTGGCGTTGAGCATCTTTTCATATACCACTTATATGTCTTGTTCAGAGAAATGTCTATTCAAGGTCTTTGCCTACTTTTAAATTGTTTTTTCTGTTTTTTTGCTATTGAGTTGTAGGAGTTCCTTATGTATTTTGGATATTAACCTCTTATCAGATACATGGCTTGCAAATATTTTCTGCCATTCCATAGGTTGTCTTTTTACTACATACATATGATGGAATATTATTCAGCCTTAAAAAAGGGAAATCCTGAAATATGCTACAACATGGATGAACCTGGAGGACATTTTGCTAAAAGAATTAAGCGAGTCACGGAAAGACAAATGCTGCATGATTCTACTTACAAGAGGAAGCTAAAATAGCCAAACTCCTAGAAGCAGTTTGGCCATCCATGGTGGCCATGGACTAGAGGGAAGGGGAAAGTAGAGAGCAACATACCTTCAACAGGTATGAAGTCTCAGTTATACCAGGTGAGTAAGTCCTGGAGATCTGCTGTACAGCGTCGTGCCTGTAGTTAACAACACTGTATTGTGCACTTAAAAATTCGTTAAAGGGTAGATCTTATGTCAAATGTTCTTACTACAATAGAAAAAATAAAAGAGAGAGAGAGATTAGGCTGGATCACCTGGCTTCACAATGCATTTTTTCCAGAGAAGCGTGTGAGCTCTTTGTGTTTTAGTTTTGCCAACCTGGGATCCAGCAGACAGAGCCCCTCATAAAGCACAGAGCCGGGTGTTCCTAGGGGCACACTCTTGGGGCTCTTGGGTTACCCTCCAGCCTCTTGTAATGAGCACATGGGCATCTGGGGTACGGACTGGTCATCTTGGACCGCTTTCCTCTGCCACCCTCCCCCAGGCTCAGGGCACTTAGAGTCCCAGATGCCAAGCCTGGTTTAGGGAGATTTTCTCCAGCAGGCCCCATCTGTCCCTGCCCTCCCTCCTTCCTCCCAGTCTTGGCAGCTGCAAGGGGACCTCTAGACCTGCTAAGTGACGGGGCTGTAGGGGTTGGGGGGCCAGCTCCTAACTGCCTCTGGAAACAATTTCTTCTGCCGTGTTTTGGGGGTCTGTGAAATTTTCTCTCCTGTCTCCCAGCTGCTTTTTTCTGCCATTTCCCTGGGGCTCTGCTTTCCTTCCTGCCCCAGCCTGTCCTCGGTGTGTGCACGTGTGTGTGCATGTATGTGTAGCACAGAGAATGGCTGTGTCTTACTGCTCCTCTCTCTCCATCTCTCCTCTCTGCTCCTACTGTTGGAACAATCCAGGTCTGCCAGAGGTTCCAGTCAGCCAGTCTCCGATCAACCACCCCTGGCTTGGGGCCTGAAAGATCCGGAGGTGCTTTGATACGATCTGGTCTGTGGCAGGAATGAGAGGTGGACACTAAAGTCAAAATGCTCAGGATAGATGGCTCAGTGCTCAGAAGTGGTGTGGAAGGTGCTATGGGATTTGGGGATCAGATATCACTTCCATCTGGGAGACGCAGAGAAGGAAGTCACTTAGCTATTCTGTTGCTGAGTTTCCTCGGCTGTCAAATGCAAGGAACCCCAGCTTATAGTGTTGTTGTGAGGAATGCATGGTACAGGTCACCTGGCAGATGGTAAGTGTCATTATGGCCTCCATTTTACTGATGGAGGGAAAGCGGTTCAGAGTGATCAAGTCACATGCTCATGTCACACAGCTAGTGGCTGGCATCTGGTTGCACCTAGCAGCACCCCTGGCTTGCGGGGTCTTTCTGGCATGCTACCCTGCTTCTCCTGTGTCTTTCCTGAACTGCAGTCTGCCCTGTGTTTGCTCCTCTGTCCGAGCGGTGATTGTCTCTCATTCTGTCTGGCCAGTTGTCTGCAGCGCAGTCCTCCCCTCTGCAGCCGGGGAGCTCCTTGAGTGCAGGAACTGCATTTAGCTCACTTGAGGGTGGCAGGATGATCTGTTTCAATAATGCCTGTTCTCCTGGTCTGCTTGCTCATCCCAGGAGGTGGACCAGCTCTTCAGTTTCCTTGCTGCAGTAACCCGGGGTCACAGGACTGAAAGCCACTTTGCCAGGCATCCAGAGGGCTCCCTCCTGGCTTTGGTATTGTGAGCCCCTGGGCTCACAGCAGATATCGGACCAGATCATCCCTCAGAGTATGGATGGGGGGCAAGGGCTTGGCCAGATTGGGGGGGGATGAAAGGGAAGGAAGGAGTGATAGAGACAGAGAGATAGAAGGCACTCAGTAAGTGTCAGCAGGGGAGGCTCCCAGGATATCGTGGGGAGTGGAGTTAGGGTGTGGTTGGAGCCTGGATTCTGGGAAGGAGATTCCACACTGGCTACATACCTTCTTACCTCTGAGGAGCATGTGATTCACCAGAACCATTATGGTTTCATTCCCAAGGTCCTTTACCCGGGCCCCCAGCTTCCCATGGGTCTGCTTCCCTAGGTATTCATCGATGTGCTTTGGGGCCACCACCAAGTTCTGGATGGTGCATGGGCCCAGGCTGCTGAACCTGCTGCAGTGGCCTATGGTCAGGAGGAGCTGGGGGTCCTGCACAGGTAGCCTGAGCAAAAGATCCTGGAAGCCCTCCTGGATATCAGCCTTAGGCACCGTGTTAAGGTTGGACCCCAAGCCCTCCAGAAGCAGGGTCCTGCTGGCTGCTGGGGCCTTGAGGGAAAGCACGGCCAAGGCCGAAGAGATAGATGCTCACTGGGGAGAATAGAATGTTCTCTCCCGGGGCGTCTAAGGCCAACTGTCTGTAGAGGTTGAAGGCAGAGTCTGTGCTGCTCACGGAAATTTTGTGGCAGAGCATGGCGGGCCTGGGTGGGCTGTCCTGGCAGCCAGAGTCGAGATCAGAATCTTCTTGGTTAACAAGGGCCAGACAATGAGCCACAGCAATGAGCACAGGGACCAGCTGCCACCACTGAAGGGCCTTCTCCTCCAGGATCCTTGGTCTGAAAGCAGTGGTGGCGGGGAGGACAACGATGACAACAGTAATCATAACACTGACGCATGACATTCACGGAGTGTCTGCTCTGTGCTGGGCCCTGTGCAAATGCTTTGCGGGCACGTCCTCTTTTAATCTTCACCACAGCCCGATGGGGGAGGCATCATTTTCACACCCCATTCGGCAAAGAAGAAAACAACACCTGGGAAGGTTAAGTAACCTGTCCGAGGTCAAGTGGCTGGTGGGTGGTGGAGTCGGGACTTGAACCCAGCCTGGGCAGTGGGAGGAAGTGGATTCATGGCAAGCGGCACACCCGAGTAAACATCCTGTCTGAACAGAAGCATGCATACATTGAGCGCCTGCTGGGAGCACCCTGGTGCCGTGGTGCACATGGCCACCAGGGCCACCAGGGGCGAGCATGTCTCCTCCACACCTGTCCCTCTGTGCACACTCACCACAGGTTGCAAGCAGCTGAGTCCTTCTCCAGCAGCTTCCTGGGGCTTGGGAGAGGCTCCCTCTGCCCCTCCTGGGGGCTCCCATCCTGTCCCCACCCCTCCTGCCTCCAGCTCACACCCACAAAGTGGGTCTCATCTGACCAACGCAGAGCCCCTCCTCCAGCAGACCCCTCTTTGAATCCTGGCTCCACCGGATGCCAGATCTGTGACCTTGGGTGATCCTCTTAGCCGGTCTGAGCCTCATTTCTCATCCCTGGTCTTGGACTTGCAGAGAGCGTGTGAGGAGGGAAGATGTGGGAGGCGCCACGAGGTACGGGGAGGAGTCAGATGACCTGGACTCAGTTTGAGGTTCTGCTCATGAGCCCAGCAAACTTAGTCAAATCACTTTATCTCTCGGGACCTTGGCTTCTGCTCTGTGGGACGATGCCAAGCATCCCCACATCACAGGATTGTAGAAATTCAGAGTGATCATGTACCAAGTAGACCTGGCCCAGGACCTGACACAGATGGGCCCCCAGGACATGGCACATGTTATTACTCCAGCGAACTTGAGGCCTCTCCTCTAGTGGTTCTAACTCTGCAGGGCTCCATGGAGCCTGGAATCTATTTTATTAAGGCCTGAGCTGGTCCTTGTCTCCTCTTAGGGAGCCATCGTGACGCTTTTAAAATGTAAATCAGATTTGTTCACAGTATAGAGCATATAAAATGGAAGCACTTAAGGTAAGAAACAAAATGGAGTCAGTCATGCTAAGGGAACTGAAACTAGCAGTAAACAACTTGTTTTGAACCAAGCTGACAAGTAGGCCCTCCAAGGCGTCAGCCAACAGACACGTGGCATTGATAAACCGTATGGTGGTGTGGATAGGAGGTATAAAAAGGGTATAAAAACCCAAGCCTTTGCTCAGTTGAATGCACATTGTCTGACTGAGAGCTGCTCTTGCTCTTGACCATATCACATCAACATCTGCCCCTGAAGGCTCTGCCTGAACAGCTCTCAAATTGAGACTTCCTTGCAAGACGTTTGCCTCCCTGGCAAGACCAGACATGGGACCAGACTGACCAACCTCTCTGCGCATCAGCTGGTTCATTAACTCAGACTCTTACTTTCTACCTTCCTCTATACCCTCCCTTAATTGTATTGTTATTAGTATTTTGAATAATAAGTGAATGCAGTTGTGTGTAGCTTGAACCTGTGTGCTTGCTACTCTGACTATCAAATGAACTGGTTAGTACCTAGGGAATTGCTCCCTATGGGAACTCTGCAGTAGCCCGTGGCTGATATTAATGATCCTTGCATTAATAGAAGTCTGCCATTATGGAAAGACACAAACGTGTTTGGCCTTGGTTCCTTGCGACCTTCATCTGCTCACAACATTCACTCCCTCCTGGAGACCTCCAGTGGCCCATCATGTTTGGGAGAAACCCTACCCTCCTCACCACACCAGGAGGCCCTATATGACCTGGCCTTTGCCAACCTTTCTGACCTCTCCTCTAACCATCCTTCCCCTCCCTCCCTCTGCTCCAACTGCCCTGGCCTTCTTGCTGTTCTAGAACTTACCAAGCTCATTCCTGCCTCAGGATCTTTGCACCTGCTGTTGGCTACCTCAAACAGTCTCTCTCCAGCCCTTTCCCCAGCTCATTTCCTCACTTCATTCAGTTCTCTGCTCAAAGGCCATCTCCTCAGGGAGGCCCCCACCTTGCTCTTGCCACCCTATACCTGCTTTATTTTTCTTATGTCTGTCTGGAATGAGGTGACATATCTGCCTGGCTTCCCCGCTAGGAGGTAGCCCCAGGAGGGCAGATACTGCCTGTCTCATGCACTGCTCAATTCTGAGTGCTCAGCACAGGGTGGACTGACACTCAACCAACATTTGATAAAAGAACAATGGCCCATGAGCTACTTTTTGGGAAACCTCATTCTATGGCTTCAACCTTCCCTCTAGAGCACAGGCATCTCCCTGAGCCTCTGGGACCTCACCCCCCAACACTGCACCATTCCTAGCTCCCCCTGTGGCAAACCACTTGGCCCCACTTGTCCATTCTGAGTTTGGGTTAATTACTGGTACAATTAATCATCCTCACACCCTTCTGTCCTGCCTCTGATGTTCCATGTGACTCTGGGCAGCCCTGGAACTTTCTGAACTGGAGTTCCCTTATCTGTAAAGGGAAGATCAAAACCATTGTCCAAAACTCAGCCTCCAGGAGAGCCTGGTCTGTCTGTAGAGGTTTGTTCCATGTAGTTTATCATCAGAGAACCAACAGGTCTCCATTTGTCCATTTACATGGTAATCTGCTTTGGTGAATATCTTGGCTTCATTGAAAAGTGTGTGCCTTCATTCCTTTATCATATTTACCATTTGTTCACTCATTCATTCACTGAACAGATACTAACGGAAGGTCTGCCGTGTGTCAGGACTTGAGCTGCTTGCTGGGGACTTGAGGTGGATGAGACCCAGCTGCTCACTCAGGGGCTCGGCTCCCATGAGACAGACATACAGAGATTCACTCAGAGTAGTGTGTACTGCATGGTCAGGCCAATGAGAGCCTGTCCCAAGTCTAGTGTCCTGTCCAGCTCTTACTTTCTCTAGGTGGGGTTCCACAGTGCCTTGCTGGCAAAACGGTTGATAGGCAGCAATGAAGGCTTTCTCTGGGGTCCCCCAAACCATAGAGCTTTTGAGCTGAGAGGACACCATTGTCCAACATGAGGCCCAGAACTCATTCATTCGCTCATTGACTCACTCACTAAACAAATATTTGGCAGTCAGGGCATGAGGTCCTGGCAGCCTGGGCCCTGCCTGGGAGGAGCTTGCTAGCTATTGCAGAGGATGGAAATGCAGAGAGCTGATTACAGCTCAGTTTAGGAAAGAGCAGTGGCAATCCTGCAGAGGGTGAGCAGGGAGCTTACAGGAGTCATGGAAGGAAGGGAGTTTCTGGAGAGCTTCCTGGAGGAGGTGGCTCCTGAGCTGAGACTGGAAGATGGATCAGGAGAGAGGCAGAAAAGGGGTGTGGGAGTTTCAGCAGAGGTAAGAGCATGCTCAAGGTCATGGAGGCAGAGTGAACCACTCCAGACTATAGTGAGAGTTGCCTATATGTGCAGCTCTCAGAGCAGATGGGTACGTGTGTGTGCGTGTGTGCATGTGACATGATGAGGGAACTTATAGCATGTTTAGCAAGCCAGCTGGGGGACTGAGAATGCAGTCCCATCCACAGTCCCACACTTACCTGAAATTAAACGCATTCTGTGAGCTTTTGGAGGAGCTGGGGGATATAGCAGGTCTGCATGGCCCTTGACACAGAACTTCATACCTGCAGGGAGGGTTGTGACAGGCTGGACTCCTGGGATCAACACAGACTGATCTGAGGCTGCCCTTGGCTCAATGTCCACCCTCAGCATGAACCAGCAGAAGGAAACAACCAGCCCCTCTGAGTCAGGGACAGAACAGGGACACATCCCAGGGAGGCTGCTTGTAAATATTTAGACCAGATTGGCACTGCCCACCTCTTTGCCTGGCAGTTAATCGGCTCATAAATATGCTGGTGACAGCTGAACAACCCTACTAATCAGCATGCTATGCTGTGCACCTGCACACAAGGAAGAACAAAAGTGCAGAGGCCACCATTACGACCTTCCACCTGTGACAGAAAGGACAAGGTGAGAGGGAAGTGACTCCTGTGCATGACCAGAAACTTTGGAAGCTCAAGGACATGTGACAGGAAGCTGGTACTACCTCATTAGGCTTTAGTTACCTTAGATCCTCCCCCACAGTTAGGACAGAGAAACATCCCTGTCCCAGAACAACATATAAACCCTCCTCTTAAGAAGCCACAGAGCGGTTCTCACTTTCTGAGGCCATCCGTGCACACGTTGGTGCGTATTCTCTCTGCACAATAAAGTCCTGTTGTCTGATGTTCTGTAGGTACATCTCCCTTTTTCTTTTGCTGATCGTGCTCACCGTGCTGTGGACCTTGATTGGTTCTGGGTAAAGTTCTACTTACTCAGTTTGACCAAGAACCTAGACCCACTTGTCCAGTGTCACCTCCATTAGGGTTGTGTGCAAATCCATGCATGGAGAAGCAAGAGCTATGGAGCACGCGTGTTGCTCTGGACTGGGAGTGGGTGTCCTGGGGGTAAGTCTGCATTCCACCATTACTCGCTGCCTAACATTCTCCTGTGCCTCAGTTTCTTTCCTTGCTCTCCTTACCGCTCAAGGTTGCCACAAAGGTTAAGTCGAGTGACATATATGGACATTCTATACAATTAGTAAAAGGCTGAGCCATTGGAAAGATCTTCCACCCCCTCCTGGTTTCATTCTTTTGTTCAGCATGTACATGGACACTGCTGTGTCAGACACGGTGCTCATTGAGTAGTACAGAGTTGCCCAGTTTGAGTTATGATTTTTTAAAATGTCATGATTGCTTATTTATTTTGCCTACAGTGTTTTTAAAATGGTAATGGCTAGTTACAATGTGATGGCTAACAATGACTAGGTCTTCAGGAAAGGCAATAGAACTTTCCACTTTAATGCTGCATGAACAGAAAAGCTAAAATCTTTGCAACTCAAGTGCCTTGTCCTCCTGAGCTGGCTCGGTGGCACAAAGGTGGCCTGCTGATTGGGT